AGTATATGCATATACTAATAATATTGACGTGGACCCCAAATAATACAGGGTTGTGACGTAAGCCTGAGGATGAGGTGACCTCACCCTTGAAGGCGTTGGAGTAAAACACGAATCAGCTTAGTGTATCACTAATGCATAACTCCAGAGGGCATGCTTACACACATTGCGTCAAGAGGTAGCAAAACATGCGCCATATATAGTTCGATAGTGTACAGTGATGACACCAACACAGCATACGTATATGTGTGCATATGTAGTTTGAGAAGGCAAGCGCGAGGCAACTGGCCTGGTGATTCTGATGTTCTTAGGTGAGGATGGTCGGGTTTGATTTTGGCGAAACGTCATGTTTCTTGGCTCGTATTCCGTATGCCGAGCTGCATACCTACACGATACCATGTAGTGGGTTCTCTCACCTACCTCGTGCAAATAATTGGGGGAGTAAATATTTGTGAGTGAATGGGAAAGATAAATGCAGAGAGAGAGAGAGAGAGAGAGGCATGAGGGAGTGGGCATGATGAGGAGGAAGGGAACATGATGAACAAAAGGACGGTGTGGCGCTCTTCCCATGTCCCACACTCTGTAACTTACTCTCTCTCTCTATCACATCCATCTCCATGTCAAACTCTCCCCACTCATTCCCCTTTTCACTCTTTTCCTGAATCTTTCTGCAATCAATACCCCCCTTCCTCCCCCCATTGTTATTATTGTTATTTCTAGCAATCATCAACTTTCTGCTTTCTTTGTTCTTTAATCTCCGGCCTTTCCTCTGTTTCTTTTCTGCCTAATTCTCTTTTAAACCACTAATTGCTGTACTTCAACGACTGACACTCTCTCTCTAGCTGGTTTCGTTTCATGGTGATCTCAAATCCATCTACCTCCTTCATCTATATTGTTTAACGGTGCATGTATATACATCAGAAACTGATGGGCTTCGCCATACTGAACTCTCCCGCTAATGAAGCTGCTAATGATTTTTAAAAAGAATATTGAGAGAAAGATTAGGGCCGGAGACTCAAAGGTCCGAGAATTTTACACGAATAGTATATATGTGGGCAACACAGCCAGCGTGAACAACGCAGAGTGTCGGGGCCAAGAATGCCACATGTATGCCTTACAAATATATTTGTGGACGTTGTACTGGATGGCTAGGGTTACGGGAGAGAGCAAGAGTGGCAGACAAAGTAGGGTTCGTGAACAACACCTCTGACCCACTCACCCGGACATAAAATAATGCCAAATATATATCAACCCTCCACCGGGTAACAACTCCAACTAATCTCCTTCCTTTCAAGTGCATCCATTTCATCCTTACTTTTCTCACAATCTTTCACTGTTTATCAAGTGATTTCAACATTATTAACAAACCGCATCAATTTGTTGGTTCACCACCAAGAAATCACTTTATTTAATCTCGTTGCCCGTCGGCCGTAACCCCCCCCCCCCAAAAAAAAAATCGATGGATAGGTTTGTGAGATGTGAATATAATATAATAATGCATCAATTCTATCGTTCTGTTAGGGACTGGACATATGCTATCTGTCTCGGAAAAAAGGCAGGAAAAGGGGCGGAGACACAGCAAAAGAAGAAGAGAGAGAGAAATGTTATGATTTCGGGCATGCTTTTGTAGTAGACGATGGATATATAAATCCAGCTAAGTAGCGTACGAACTGGATGAAGAATATAAAAATGGACGGCACAGGTGCATCATCCTTTAGAAATACATAAAGAGAGCACAGTGGAGCGCATATTCCAGAGTGACAGGGAGGGACATGAAAAAGGCACAAATGGCGGAATTAAGTAATGGCATGGAATCATGAGCAACACAATCAGTAAGACAAGATTTTGCAGGGAATATATATGGGATAGACATATTACAATTTATTAATGAAGAGGTGAAATCGAGTGTGCATGTATGGCTTTGTCTTCATGTGGCATCGGGTCCTTGGATTGATGCCTTTTAATTTGCGGGCAGCCTCTTTCCAGGGGGAAGCCAAAAGTGGTTCATCTTTTGCGAGATCAGGCTCAAAATTGTAGGGCACTGTGCGGGCGTGAGAGAGAGAGAGAGAGAGAGAAGGGGAAGAGGTAGCCAGGGAAGGGGGGAGGGGGGGGGTATGCCAGTTTTGGTTCACGAGCGAGGCCTAATTTGACAATACTCTGCTGCAGCTGGGGCTCAGCCACTGAGAGAGAAAGCCCATCATTACTGTATATTACCATCTCACATTTCATACTGCCAAAGCATGGCCCCCCATCATTCTCAATATTTTCATTCCACTGGTAAAAAAGTATCTACTGATGAAGCTTGCAATGCACACTGTAATTAGTAGATGAATTAATCAGCATACGTAGTAATGTATTATAAGCCCATTACATTTAGCACTGCGATATTAACGCGAGAATCGTTTTCTTTTAAGGAGGACAGCATATATGAGCAAGATGGAGATATCTTACCAGCCTAGCTATGGTCATGGCCTCCATATTCCCTCACAAGGCATGGCCCTCCCGAATCTCTCAAATCTCATCTCTAATCATTTTGATCTGGGACGGGTCATTAAGAGGCCCTTGAAATTAATTGCTAGTGCCTAGTGGCGCATGTCTTTTCTAAAATATTAAAGTCTCTATTAACTGAAGAAACACGTCGTTAACTACTGGTTCTTTTAAAAATACCGTTCGAGCATCCCTTTTGTGAAAGCACTCAAAATTAAGGTTTTTGATTGATTCTTCTGTCTCACCTTTACTTGTATAAAATAAAGGGATGTTATTTGAAGGCCATCCTTTTTGTCCCGACCCCTCTCATCATTTTAAATTTAAAGCCAAAGGTGAAATATGGGTAATGGAAGTGAAAAAGATCATGATCTATCAATCAATGAAATGAAAAAGATTACCAACTTTTTAAAGATTATATGTATATCTCCCCAATCTCATGCAAAGACAAAGCCTAAGCTATTTCACAATTATAACGGTTCCAGAGGAGGAGTGCATGCTTGAAAGTTGAAGCAGAGCCCCCCCCCCTTTCCTTTCACTCTTTTCTTCCTGCCCAAAGTGCTTCAGAAAATAAAAAATTTTAATTTGTATGCCTGTCACGTGTGAACATGTCATTGGCCTTTTTCCTATCAATCGTGCTCCACAAAAGGATTACTGCCTTTTCTTTTTGTATCCTCTTCACATGTAAATCTATTATATGTGTTTGTCCCTTGTTGTATATGGATTTTAATTTGGACTTCCCTTAAAAAAAAAAAAAGGTGAACACACAGAGTCATTAGACAATGATACAGACACACACGCATAATTGCTACTGGATATGCCATTGGAATGATGGCTCAAAGCTTCAAGTAATCTCTTTAATTTTACAGGCTGCACCCACCAATGGTCACAATAAAGTGCCACACCGTAAAGGTAATTTCGTCTGGGGAGTTGGACTTGCACCCCCAAATTTGAATCTTATTTTTGGTTATGCATGTCAACACAATTTAAATTCTCAATACCGCTATCAACATTCCAGCTCGCCTCAATCGTCTTATAATGAACTACGATCAGGTGGCATAATTTGAATCATCTTGACGATCCACTGAAGCCAAGTGCCATTGTTAGTTAATTCCAAGCATGGTTTGATATAGTGATTGAAGCTTTCAAAAGCAGTTTCTTTAATTGTGACTCGTGGTGTATAAAATAAGTATATAGGGAAAGTTTTCCCTCAATTTATATAAAAGTAGCTCCAAATAAGCATTAAAATATACACACGTTACTTGCACTACAACGGGGCGCAAAAGAGAACGAGGGACTGAGACCTAATTCAAATTTCAAGTGCAATTTTACGTACTTTCCTTTCTTTTTTTTTTATCACATATTAATCACAATAAATAAGGTCAGAATCCACCCGGCGAATCAGGTGGAAAACTCTAATCGCACTTTGGCAGCATTGTCTAGACTGTGTATATAGGACTAGGGAGCGCTCATTTACACTTATTTTTAGAGTCGTCGTTTTTTAAGGATTTAATTGGAAAAAGGCGCAAAAATAGTCGTTATTATAAAGCCTCGTGGCCCTTTAGTAAATCTAAAACATTCATTTAATTGCGTGCCGGGACAATTAAATAATCTCCCGTTGCCTCTGACTAAAACTAAATATTAGACACTACTATTACTATGATTTTATCAATATTCCACCAACTTACAGAAAACGGAAAACTCGAAAAATCTGAAATAACATGGCTTTGTCGGAAATCGATCGGTTAATATGTCCAAGCCTGATGCGTTTGTGTCAAATGTGTCTTTGAAAATACCATCTCTTTGTCTTTAATATAAAACATTGTTTAATTTTTATTTTAGTTCTAAATATAAAATCTTAATCTATTTTATTTCTTATATTTATATATTTTTATAAGACAGTCCTTGTAATAATAGTAATTCTAGCCAATAAAATTGATTAGCAAAGATATTTTTTAAAAAATAATGCATATTTTTTACAAATAAATAACTTAACTTATTTTCTTAACCTACTCAAATTAGTTAATTAGTTTTTATATTTAAGGTCAGAGGTAGTAAAATAAAAGAAAATCCTTTTGGGCTGAAAGCATGGGTGAATGTAATTAGTATGGAACCATACATATATATACAACGTGTCCATGTGTTTTATACTCTTGCTTTTACATGTGGGTACAAAATTTAAAAATGAAAAGACGACACATGGAAGATATCTTTGATTTCAATAAAACGAGATTGCGGCGGCTAGCGATTCCCCAAATCTCGCCACCAATTACTCCTAAAACCTAGAATTTTTTAAACGCCATTTGAAATTAATTTTTTAAAAAAAAAAAAAACAAAGAAGAAGGAAGGAGAAGTGGAAGAAGGTAGATGGAAGGAGCGAGATTGGGGACAAAGGCCTGCCACCAGGAAGGGAGGCGACGTGGGTCCGTTGTTCATTCTCTTATTCACACACAAGCCAAATGTAAGGCGCTATGCCAAATAGTAGAGAGACGGATTTGAAATTCCAGCAATAAACAATATACGAAACCCACCACAATATTCCTTTAGTATATATATGAATGTATATGATCAAGAGCATAGCTGAAAATCAAGAGCGATATATAGAAGAAAAATGAGGAAGAAGGGAAAAAGCTAGCTGCCAGCTATTATTTACACATAATTTGAAGGGACCCAAAGGACCCAAAAAGAAAAAAAGATTTAAAAAAACTGTTTAAGTCGATGGTTAAGATGAGAATACGGAGATTCCCTCTTTCATGCATTAGATTGAACAGATGAGATATTAATTCTTATTCGTTTCCTTTCGGTGGATGTTGTTAATTAATCCGATGAGCAATTAATCCATGATTCCACCATACCTTCACTTCTCGGCACAGCAGCAGCACACTCCGGCCCTCTCTCTCCATGAAAATTATCCGAAGAAGCCAAGTAATTTACTGTCCCGTTCGTGACTCGCTCAGTGTTACTGTAGTTGGGGCCGCCGAGAGACCCCACAATCGATCCATCATCTCCTCCGTTGTTAGCACCCATGCTCCTCCTCCTCGTCATTGCTCCGTCCGATGATGGCGAAACCATGTTTCGATGAAGCCCGCCGACGTTGGCGTTAACATGGGCGTGGGTCAATCCCAATTCCCCCAAGGCGCCCATTTTGAGATGTGAATCAGCAGAGGGCGGAATTTCCAAAGAGCCTCGGGATTTAGGGGCGAGAGTGGAGGAAGAATTCTGGGTAGGGAATTTAGGTGGAGGTTGGAGGATGGACTGGAAGTTGAGAATCGGGGTGTGCATGTTGTTCACGTTGAGAGCAGGCTGCTTCAGAAGGCCCAAATCAGAAGACAGTTGGTAGTTAATGGAAGTCGGAGAATTAGTAGTGGGATTAGAAGGTAAGGGGTCAACCATGGAGGACGTTGCCGGAAATGACTGCATTGGAGCTGAAGAAGAAGAAGACAAAAAGGGGTTTGGGGAGTGAAGTTTGTGGGGAAAAGGCCGGAGAAGATAAGGAGGCAAGGGAGGGTCCAAATGGGGAGATCTTAGAGCAGAAGAAGGAGCAGCAGAACCAAAGAGATCCAAACGGGCTCTGGGGAAAGAAGAGGAAGTGAACGGAGGGGCCGGAATTCCAGTGAACTCCTGAACCATGGCACGGAAGTTGGTGGTATCCGTAGTGAGCACAGTGGTGGGTGCACGCCTAGAAGCTCTAGACCTCTTCTTTGGGTTTCGAACGGTGTTGCTATTGGCGCTGTTGGAGTGGGCTTGATCAGTGGCGCCTGACACGGAAAGCAATCCTCGTGAACAACTTTCTTGAGGCAGACTTTGCTGTGAAGCGGGAAACGCACCGCCTCTGCTTTGACCTCCCAATTGACTCAACCCAAAAGCTTGGTTCTGTGCTGACGACGAAGGCGGCATCAGGGCGCCAAGATCCGCGGATCTGCCGGGTTTAGACCACGCCATATCCAGGTTCAGGAGCGGGTTGGGATTCGAAAGCGACGGTGATCTTTGGATGCTGTTGGGATTGGGATCGAAGTAATTCGACAGAGGGTCCAACATATGGATGTGGTTGAGCTGAGGCTGTGGATTAGAACTGGCGAAGGGGCCGACGTGCGCGGATGGGTTGTTCAAGTAGGCGGAGATGGATTCGGTGCGTGAATCGTAATCTTCGTCACCACCGCTGGAGGATTGCATACTGCCGCTGTTACCCGAATCCATGAGAGAGAGAGCGGAAAATGGAAAGACGTAAAGGTGAGAGAGATGTGGGGGGTGTGGCAGAGAGACTTTGGCGAGTTACTTACACATGACCATTTAAGAGGGGGCTACAGAAAGAGGTATGGAGCGAAGAGAAGGAAAAGGGAGATATTTCTGGTTTCTGGAAGGAAAGCTTTCAGAAAAGTACCCACGTCTTTAAGGCTCTGATCTGCAACCCAAACAGTGCTACGTCTTGCTTTTTGCTTTGTCTCGGAGCAAAAGGATACACGTACAGAAAAGAATAAACATCAATTTATTACCCGAAGAGAGAGGGCGTACGCATCGGCATCGGTCGATAAAAATTTCTGTGTTGGGGTTTTGGGACTTGAGAGCATTCCCTTGTCCCGTATTAGGGTTTCAGAGAAAGAGATGGTTCTCTCAACCTTTTCTTTTCTATCTTAAAAGGTTGGCCGCTCTGACCCGGAAGAGATCAGAGTGGGGTAGCCATGCCAAGGGAGGGAGCGTGGTGATGGCGGAAGGTTAGATGGTCAAAGTATGCGGGAGTTGTGGTTTTGATTTGCTGTGTGAACCGGAAAATATACCGGTCTCGCAAACATAATACACGATTCTTTAATTCTTTCAAATATTAATATTTTTTTTTCTTGCTCGTATTAGATTTCCCGGCACAATGAGGTGGGCAAGCAACCAAATCAGAGCGATGGTTGTTGAATTATATTTTGCATAAAGTTAAGATTGGCCCTAAAGAAATGCGGGAAAATGCGTATATTGCATAAAGGTGATTAGCGAAGCAGACGGCTCCGTTGCCTTCCATCCATACCGCTTCAAGAAGCCAATACAAATACGTACAACATAAATCTATTAACTTATGAGCCATAAAACAAATCAATCATTTTAAAGAATAATCCTCCAAATAAAATATCCATCTGTCTAGCCACATGTAAAAATAGCAAAGAAGTGCTATATATAAGTGAAGCTTCTATAATTTTCCGATATATTTGACCCAGCCAGAATTTTTAAAATACAGGAGAGACCACCGTCGTTTATTAAAAGGCTGGAACGGAGAATCTCATACAGTGCATGTCCACTCCGGAGGAAGAAAAATGGCGATGTATCTTTTATATAACGTAAGGGAATAGGTTGGGGGTGTTGTATGTGGCTTTAAGTGAGATGTAATGTACTGGTGCGTAGTGGTACGTAACTGTGTGGTGTAGAAAGGGAACAAAAGTGCAATGGGCATTAGGATTATTTATTGGGAGGTGGTGGCTTGGCTGGGCGGATGAATCAGTTGAACGACATCAGATGAGTTCGCTGCAACCATCGGAACCAAAAAAACGCCTTTAACTTCATACAAAGCCGACGACGGGTATCTTCAAAATAGTCAACCTGTTTCAGTGAATAAAGCTGTCGTCCTTGCTATATTTCTTTTACCATTTTATGGATTTTGTATTCTTTCGCTCCAACCATTTCTCACGTCTCTTCAGTTTACACGTAATTCATATCTTACAATTGATTGATTCCCCCCTCACACTATTCTATTATTTTATCTCTTCTAGCCCCTCCAACCACCGGTCAACCGTTCTACTCATCCTCAACGTGCATCAACATGGCCCTCGAATTAACCCTCGTTTGGAATTTTTTTGTTTTACTGCATTTCACATTCTTTGCGACAGATTAAAATAAACCTACAAACTACTCAACGTATGCATTTACCGCGAGTCAAAAGGTTACATAATTAATATCTTTCTTTGTTTTCCCCCCTGTGAAAGTGATGATAATAAATACACAGCAAAAAACGACTCCCAACAGCCTATCAGACGAGTCAATATTACAAAATATGAATGGAAGGCGGATATTTTTGCATCAGTCTTCATCGCTCCGTAACTATTTCAATTTCCGGAGACATCTCCATGTCTTCCACGTCTGTTGTTTTTCACAAAATAATAGATGTGAGATAAATTCATATACGTGTGTGCGCGTGAGAAAAAGAGTAGTGAGATTGCAGGGATGGAGTACGTAAGAATATTAATTGAGGAGAGCCCTAATTGACAAAAACAGATGCGTACAAGAGAGGTGGGCAAAACTCAAAAGTTGAGGGAGGGGGTGCTACTGCTTCACAAGTGAAGTATAGGAATAAGGACACGTGGGGGGGAATTAATGAGGCCAAAGCTGATGAACCAATGATGTGTCCATGAAGTTACTTGAAGGAGTAAAACTAGTTTAATTGGTGAGCTGAGGGGGGAGGAAGATGTATGCTCACCGTCCCTGTACCTAGAAAAGATATATAATAAGTCTTCACACACAACAAAGAGAGATTAGGAAATGATGATGATGGGACCAGGTCGTCTAATAATCCCCCATTTTTATCATTAACAGTGCCCTTGGCTTGTTGCCTGATTTGATGATGGATCATATATATCCTCAATTATAGATTTTATCGAATCCGCAGAGAAAAAGAGGTCCAGAATTCTGTGACACAGGGACCCCTGCTCCTGCCCTTTGTCTGCCTTCATGCTGTTTCCGCATGTGAACCTCATATATATATACATACGCACAGCGTTCCTTCCTGATGATCATTAATTAAACAGTCTCTAAACATGTGAATGTGATTCCAAAAAAGGCTCCGCACCATTCATCCTTCGTCAAACGGCGCGTCGTACATGCGTTGGGGGAGGCCTTAACCTGCATGTCACGTAAATGGCAGATACACATTAAAATTAAAATAATATATATTTATATTGCACGATGTGTATACACTATACGCCTTCTTTTGTTCCCGAAAGGCTATATCATAATATAATATAATACAATACAATATGCTGATTATATGTTGGACAGATAGATTTGTGATACATGAACCACAGAAATTAAACGAGAGAAGCTAGCTAGGCGGATAAAGCAAGAAGCCGCTTAATTTAATTTACTGACTCGTACAGTCGTAGTATTTAATTAGATATGGAATCCAGTTATAATTAAATATGTTATTCTTTACGGACAGGTAGCAGAAAGGAACCCTTTTGTTTGATTCAGCCTTAAAATCAGCTGCTCAATAATTTATATTTTGACAACGGATTAGAAACCAAAAAATGGACTGCGAAAATGACCCGTCGCGATTAAACAAATCTTTCTCGGCTTGGATGTTTCCGTTCAGAATTCAGATGGATTAAAGCTCATTTCTGTCACTCAAAAATATTTATTGTAAAAATCTGAGAAGGCAAAAGATGGACAAATAATAGCTTCTATTGATTAAATACGTGTGTTTGCGTATCAAGTAATCTATGATCACCATGGATTTCTTTTTCTCCCAGGACGTCCCTCCGCAAATTAACTTTCGAGTTTTATGCACCGATGCGCAGGACAAAAGAGAATCGTATGCTTGTTTTTCTTTTTCAAGTAATCAAGTCGGTACCAAAAGTGCCTTTTTATCATGTGAAGAACACTCTAATATTAATGAACGATCTTGATGAGAGTTCTTTACAGAGTTGTTGTTTTTTTTAAAAAAATTTTAGGCGTATAATGGTGAATAATTGAGAAATGCACGATTAAAAGCGGTGCGGATTAATACATTCCAAATCCCCTCAATATATTCTCCAAATCGAAATGCCTCTCCAGTATTCAGCAATCAGCTCCACTTATACGAATATTTTCTTGCCTCGCCTTTTTATTTTTATCAGCTCCGTTATTCTTCACCATCCATCAAGAATCAAACGCAACTAAAAAGATGGATACCGTAATAGCTTCAAAATAATATTAGATTGACACACAATGTTATGCCCGATAAATATAACAATAGCAGCAATAAAAATCATATAACGCTAAGGCAAAAAAAATCTAGTCAATGATATATACACCCTGTTATTAATAATTTCCTTGTTTTCCTCCGATCGATGATGTGCGATCAAGCTGTATTGCCAAAGCGGCAGTAGAGTTTTTATAATATCTGGGTTTGGAAGAGTTAAAAAATTGTTCATACCCCAATCCGTACGTTATTCAAAAACATGGATTTTTATTATTAGAATTTGTTCAGTAGACTAGACCTTATTCATTTATTTTCCTCCTCTTTTAAATTTACATTTTCTGACCGGAGAGGTATTTTGAATCTTGACCTGTATAGTATATATCTGCAGTGCGGTGCAGAAGAACAGAAAGGGACGGGGGATCATGCTGAATTTTTTTAATGATGCTTTTACCTAATCAGGCCAACAATTTGAAGATAGAAATTGATTCTTAGATGTATGATTAGACACCACTAGTTAACTTTTTTTAGTTGTTTAACTTTATTTTTCAAGGAGAAAAAAATTTGAATTACATGCCAAATCAATTAACTCGATCAGTTAATTAATATTTTATCTGGCCAGGTCAAACAAGTTGTGGTTAGGTTCACAGGCTGCACAATCAAATTTAAGTTTAATAAAAAGAAATGGCAGAGGGTCAAGCAAAGTGTCAAAACTTGGAAATATAAATAACATTTCAGAGTTATAGCCTCGTAGGATGCCTCTTAATTAGAAGACACATAACCAATAGATGCAGAGCTCTTTGACAATTATATCTATTATTCTTCCAAGTTAACGGAACTGGTTTATGAAATACCTCATCATTCTATTCTAACTATACAAATTAGTTCGGTGAATGTTGAGGAATATTGTGTTGAGAATTAATTTTAACGAAACAACTACTGCTAAGGAATAACAGGGAAAAAAAAGCGCACTATTGGATATTCAACGTTCAATGAAAGTTAGTCGTCTCACACATCCTATCAATTATAGTAAGTCTTCCATTGAGTTTGTGCGATGCCCAGCTATACATTTCAAAGAAACATATAGCCCACTAAATTGTATATGAAAATTGAGAGAAGATCCCCAAATTACTGGCACTTGGTGAGGACAGAGGTAAAGGGAAAAGAGTTTAACTCTTTAACTCTTTTAATCCTTATTTTTCCTGGGATCAAAACGATGCTGAGGTATATATTTAGAAAAGAGAACCAAAGCAAGGTGGGAAGAGCGAAATGAATAATTGAAAAGGGGAGTGTGATAGATGTGTTTTGGTGAGCGTGGGATATGGCGTGGAGGATAGAAGAGGGATGGGAAAGGAGGCAACGTCAGTTGTGGAGGCTGATTTGAGATTGATCAATAGATTTGATTTGGAGATAGCGATGTGAATAGACAAACATAGTTTTCAAGTCGGAATCTAATGTGACCCGGTTTTCATATAATCGATTCCAGTCCTTGTTTTGACAAGTCTAATGCTACCTAACTGTTCTACCACCAATTCTCTTTCCCTTTTCTCCCCTTCGTTTTTTTGTTTGTTTTAAAAAGCCTCTAATTATTCTTCGCTTACATTTTTAGCCATTTCTAGAAGTCGTGAGGCCGAACGATACAAGGACATTAAATTAGTAGCTGAATGAGTGAATTGTGTTGTTTGTAATTTAGTCATTTAAAGTTAACATGAATGAATCTATTGCAGTGTACGTGTTTGGATAAGTAGAAGGAACAGGAATTTCACTGTGAAATAAGTAGGAAAAAGGGGACCATGGACGGAGAAGGAAGGAAGGCAAGGAATAGAACAAGTCTACGGAGTGGGTGAGATGAGGGGGTCGAGCACACTGTACACAAACCACAAGGTGTCCTTCGTAGACGCAAGAAACACCCCAGCTTGTGCTTTTCAATTTGACCATTCTCTCCTCTCCTCTCTCTTCATTTCTCACCCTAGCTTATTCACCACTGCTATCACTTTAGTATTCAACATAACTTTGTCTTATATATTTCTATCAACCAGATGAAGATTTTATATCTTATAAGCATCATTTTATAAATAATAACGTTAATGATGCTATAGACACATGCACCAAGCCCAGACCCATGGGCCCCTTTCAGAGTTAGCCCGAAAGCCATAAGAACAATGATGACAAACTATACACCCGGAATAGAACAGCGGGCTCCATCCTGCCATTAATTACATTGACTTGTTTATGAATGAAGCAGAGTCAACTGCTTTATAAGCCATGCCATTTCCTTGAATTTTGGTCTCATCTCGTTTGTTTGGTACAAAACATTAAAAATGAAAAAAATAAAAAGAGAATATAATTGAGAAAAATTATTAAAAAAGTCTTTAACATAAGTAATTATTTATTACATAAGATTAGACAAATCCATAGAAGTAGGATTAGGAAATATCATTTATCTTCATGATATTTTCCAATCCCAAATACATAGGTTTGTCCAATTCTATGTAACAAGCAACCTCTTATACTAAATACTTTTTTTAATATATTATCACAATTCCCAATTCCAATCCCTACTTTTTTTTTTTTTAATGTCTCAGACCAAACGGGGATCTTAGAGCAGTTGCTGATAAGCTTATTTGATATTACGAGTGACCACAGCAGAGGAGTTTTCTTTCCTCCTTAAGTTTCGCTCTAGTTTATGGGGTTTAAAAACAACTGTAAGACCCCCCCCCCGGCGGGCGCCGGGCGGGGGGGGGAGTGTTATAAGTGCGTGATTGCTGGCATCTGTTTTCACCCTTTCTATTCCCCTTACTTTCAGAGTTGGACCACTCATATTTCTGGGCCGAAGCTCACTATGCACCGGTTTGGAAGAGAGGTGTTTAAACTTTGCGAGTCATGGGCTTCGGTTTCGTCCAAAATAGAAATTTGAGCGGTGTTGTTAATTAATCTCCGACGAGATCCACTCATAAAATCAGAGGAGGCCAAAAAAAAAAAAGGCAGTCGGGTTTGGGACCGGCCGGGGAAATCCTGAGGTTGGGCAGCACGAAAACCGTGCTCCAAGTCTGTTACGGTGTAGTTGAAGAACAGGCGGGCGTCAGCTGTTGCTGACCTGCTGCCCGGGAATGAAATCAATTCAGCCTCCTCAAATCCATTGCTTGTAGTTTCATCGGAATTTAGAAATCCAAAATCCCGAAGCATGCCCGTTTCTAGGTTTATCCTGTTTTCGTCCAACCGTCGCTTCACAAGAGAGGTTTTCCGTCTTCTTCCGAGGTCATTTTCTGCGTCCCTTCTTTCTTATCGGTTATTCACCTGTAAGCTTTGGTATTTGGACTTCCAATTGTTTCATTTATTTGCGTGATGAAATGAAACGAACACATATGAGTTTCTTTTTCCTTTATTTGAAATCATTAGACTAGAAGATCACTTTCTTAATTGGAACTTGCCTGAGCATTTCCGGTAATTTGGTATTGGACTCTTCTTTCATTCTTTGTTTATTTTTTCCTTCTAAATTTAAATTATTTATTTATCTTTAAAATTTCACTTATAACGAGCATTTGGAGTCCCCTTTGATGTTTGCTGTAGCTGATACCATGGATTTTTTTTGTTGGGAGGGGGGGGGGGACAGCTTAATTTGGCTGTTTCCGGATGTAAATCATTGTCTAAACTGTGATCCTGGAACAATATCATGGTTGCTTTTGAACCAATTGTTATCATGTACTTATTTTTTACTCTGACTGTTAATGGAATTATATCAGGTCTAGCCCCTCGAAGAGAGTTCAATCTTTTAGCTATACAAAATCATCAGAACGCTGTAAAGGAAAACCGGATTCTCCTTCTGTGGTGCATTTAGAATCGCATGCCTCTCGTACACCGGCTACTTATGTTATTGTATGTTTTTCCTGCGGCATTATGAGATTGCTGTGCACTGTTTGTTTCAATGACTTTTATTCTCATGCAACGGCTGCATCAGTGTCTATATTGTGTCTACTTCATTGGTTTTCTTGCATCATTCGCGCAATTGATTCTGTGCAGCCAGCTGCTATACTAGGGTTTGCAGGGATAGCAGCATTTTTTCATTATAACGATGAGAGAAGAGCTGTTCCTAAAGGTACTTCTATTGTTAAGTTTTCTCTATTAATCTTAGCTAAAGACTCTTAAGTACAACCAGTCGGTGACGGCATTTATTTCTCTCTATAGCAGCTTCGAATTGTTTTGCCATCCTCCCCGTTCTTATGCAACATAAGCAAAGTTAGCAGTGATTCTTTTCCATGATCAGCCGTTTATAATGTGCTAGCGTTGTTTTCCTGATAATATTTGCTGCCAGGGAAAAAATAGTGTACTGGTTTAGATGCATGTCTTAACATGAAGCTATCTAGTTCCTGTAGACTATGGCTTGCAATATGATTGTAGATATGTTTAGTGAGGGTGAGGTTGCTGCTTGTTCATGCAGACCCATTGAATTTCGATTTGTTGAAAGTATGTATATGCTTTCCTGTGGTACAAGTATCTCAAGTAGTTTTCTTTATAAGATTTTGTGCAGTTTCCTTTTCATGGGTTGAACGTTTTGTAAATTTAGCACTTGACATTAGAGTGGGATGGGAGCTAGGGATAGGTTTAATTGCCATTGATTTCTGACTTTATTGGAACTGTTATATGAAAATGGATGTAATATATGGGAAAGAAAATCAGATAATTGAGAGGATAAGAACCAGCAAGAACCACACCATCATCTCAATTTTTTTTTTAAGAATATTTTTAACAGTCGCTAATGATGTTTGGACTTTGGTGGGAGTACATTGTCTCATCCTGAAGTTCTCTCTTTCTGGTTTGAGGTATCAAAGCTTGTTGACTTATATCGATTATTGAATTAGACGCTTTAGTAATGTCAAAAGAGAGTTCCAAGCTTAAAAATGGAAGTTCAGTTTACAGTCTTATTTTCTTTTTTCTGTTGGATCAGGTCAGGCTGATCGCCGTTCTGCAAGTGCTGTTGGGGGACCCATAATTGGGGGTCCTTTTACTCTAATTGATACAGAGAAGCGAACGGTTACGGAGCATAATTTTCTTGGAAATTGGGTTCTTCTTTACTTTGGGTATACCTCATCCCCCGACCTGGGGCCAGACCAAGTCAACATTATGGCCAAGACAATTGATATGTTAGGTGCAGCCCTTCTACCCCCACCCCCTTTTATTTTAATAACAAGTTGTTTTTCTTTGATTAACCTTAACAAAGTGAATTTTATTTGGATGAAGAATCAAAACAGAATCTTAAGATTCTACCAGTATTTGTTACGATAGATCCTCAACGTGATACTCCCTCTCAACTTCGTGAATACCTTAAAGGTTCGATTACCTGACACCCAAAAGTCTCACAGCCTATAATTTTTCAAATTCTTTGCTAAGATCTGCTGTGTAGTTTTCCCCCATTAAGCTTTCCCCTCTCCTTGACAAATTGCAGAGTTTGATTCGAGGATTGTCGGGCTCACCGGACCTGTGGGAGCTATCAGGCAGATGGCCCAAGAATATCGGGTTTATTTTAAGAAGGTAGAGGAGGAGGGTGGTGATTACCTTGTTGACTCTTCCCATAACATGTAAGTCGCTCTTCTGACCTCCAGTCCTTTGGGTAATTTTATGAGCATGGACTTCAGATGGACAATAATTGTGTAAAAACAATCAGGTATTTGTTGAACCCTAGAATGGAGGTTGTGAGATGCTTTGGAGTTGAGTATAATGCAGATGATTTGTCAAAAGAGATATTGAAAGAACTGAAGGTAAACATGTCTTGATGCACCCGATGAATGGTCGAGGGTTGACTGTGATGCCAATTGCCTGTTGATTGAGCACCGTCTTCTTCCATCTCATCTGATCGAATTGATTTCTCTGTTTTGGTCTTTTGAGCATTTTTCTATCCGAATTACGCCAAATTTCTGAATTTGTAATTCATTTGAATATTGCTGATGCCGGAAAGTAGGCCGGAGAAAGTGAGTGAACATTCGCTAGTTAGAAAAGTTACCGAAAGTTTTTCAAATTCGTAAAGGCGGTGTTCACTTGTTTGAGTGCATTGTGGTCTCATGGGTTGTCATCGAAATCCATGGAATGCGTCCCTATTCCTTCGTGCAGAACTCACATTCTTGGATGAGGTGATCATAGATGGACTCACTATTGGGAAGTGAGAAGCGCGGCTGGCTACTTCGTTTATTAAAATGGATGGATGGGCTGTAAAATTACAAGGACTTTGATGCGCAAGTTGTGATTGTATTATAATTTTATATCGTTAGTTTTACAAAAATAAAAATAATGAAAAAGTAATACAAAAATACAAAGGAAAGAGAGTATATGCGATGAGCAGGGATGACAATTCATTGTCGAAGTCCACTTTTTATATGAACAAGCTAGAACTTGTTTTGCTTTGCACTAATCCGGGATCTTTTTTTTTTTTTTTTAATCAGCTTGGCATGGAAGCTTAGAACGCTAGATTTTCTATATTAATTGCTTCTGACTTTTCATCCAAGTGGTCCCAGAAAAGAAATAGGAGATCGCCCCGTCTCTTAGCCGCATTCCCCCGATGGTAATGGTTTTTTTTTTGGGTCACACCCGATGGTAATGTTTTAAATAGTGAATTCATATGACCAACAAATATTAAGAAAAATAAATATTGAATTGCAAAGAGATCAAGATTCGCGTGAAGAGCTAATGAATTCAAAGGAGCAGGTGTCCAACTGATGTGTTTCTTTTTCCTTTTTTTTAATTGGGGTGGCCGGTGTTGTGATGTTTTAATGATGTAGTGTTTTTGTTTTATGTCACTTGTAATTGTAACGCTCGGACGTAGATTATAAAGAACACGTGGCGTTGTCTGATTGCGGCGATCGAGTAGGTAGGTCCCGCACCATGAAGGGCATTTTTATTGAGTTACAGTCCGGTGACCGGATCCGCATCGCCTCCCTAGCGGCGACGCGTTATGATCTATACAGATACCAAGCATAGATCAACAACAAAACCGGTACAAGCCCTCAGATTCCCACATCCATTACACAATAATACACAAGACGAAACACTGACGACCATCTCATGAGTTTCAAGTTTCTAAATTGCTAAGCTCGGTCACACGGTTGTGAGGGTGGGCCTCAGAACGGAAAGTCCAGATCTGAAGCCATCAACGAGAGTGGTACGATCCTGATCAAGCTTGGCGGAGCAATAGTCCCTTGCCGCCCACAGCTGATAGGGCGATGCGTCCAGAGCGAGCCACTGCTCCACCGTGAACTGCTTCTGGGCGCAGGACATGTGGGGTCCAGTGGTAGTGACCTCCACGTAGTTGCAGTACCATCCGTGATGGGCACCAGCGCCGTCGGAGGTGACGTTGGCGGCGCAAACGGGGCTGTTGAGGCAAGGACCCCTGCCGCTGAAGATGTCGAGGTTGCCGCGCTCGAAGTAGTCGTAGTTGTTGCCCATTAAGCCGCCCCAAGCTTCGAGGTCTCTGATGTAAATGCCATAGCCATAGGAGTCGTATAGCTTGAGGCCGATCTTAGAGTCGGTTCCTCCCTTGAAGATGGATCCAGTCCTAACGTACACCGTGTACACGCACTCGTACTCGTCCTGCATTCATCAGTCCCATTTCGATATTTCGATATTGAAACACAGAACCAAGCGGATGAAGAGAAGAGATGAAGAGAGCAACTTACGGATCTAACGATGGAGGCGAAGCTGAGTGAGAATAGAAGAACGAGAGAGGACAAGGCAATTTTGAGAGCCATTGTTGTGTGCGGTGAGGACGGGTAGCGAGAAGACTACATCGATGCCTCTTTATAATATGGGATGCCTCCATTGGCCCAAACAATAAATGGATGTAGATCGGCACCACGTGGTCAAGGTGTGAACGTCTGATCATTCCTCATTTCCGCCTGCCTCCTATCCTCTAATCTCTTTCTTGTTTATTTAACTTTTTTCTTATTAAAAACATTAATTGTGACGATAGAATTGTGCGAATTAAGCAGCACTGTGCGAACCATGACATTATTGAGTTTTTATTTTTATTATGAAAATCTAATTATGTCTTCGTTTATTTATTCCCATTTTTGCGTCGTCCTAATTTTATATCATAATAGACATGATGGATTTGTGTTAGACATTTTTTTTAACTACGAGATGGATTTGTTAAAATTAAATTTTTTTAATGAAAAATATGACAAATTTTTATTTTTTTATTATAAAATATCTAAATTAGACATGTTTGCTTATTCTTTTCCTCTTGTGAGTGGTTGTGAAAGGACAAATACGAATAATTTCTGGATTCTGGTCAAAAGAAACAGGACAAATAAATATTATTGTGCACCTGGGTATCTATCAGTGTGTACGCACATTAAACACATCATCAACGGAAGAGAATAATGTTATCAATAGATATTCAAATATTTTGAACATTTAATTAGCATTAAACTAAATGTTTATTCCATAACAAGTCATTTTTTAATAAAATGTGATGCGAATAATACGGTTTTATGAGAAATGTTTGAGGTTTTTTAACTCTTATTTGTGCCTCATTCCGCTTTTTTATGAGCTGTGTGTGACATGGGGAAGTAATGTAATTTTGCGAAGTACCAGTGTACTTATGCGTATGCAGGATGACGGAGTCCGTCCGGGGTGCCTTGGAATTAGAAACGCTGTTATCACGGGGAAAGGACAATCACAAAGAACAGGACGAGATTAGGAAGATGCTTCTCCCAACCAAAATCGGTTGTTTATTTGGGCCAAGTAATGTGATTCCACACGGCGCAGACCACATGCCACGGGGTAGTCGCTTCTTCACTGCGTATTTTCTTACTTTCTTTTAATTTAAAAATTAGAATACCGTCCGTAGATATTAATTTTATTTCCCACAACACTAAATCAAGCACGGAATACACCAACGGCGTATTCGAACGGTAGAATGATGCAGAAGAAGACAACCCTGAGCATTGCTGGCTAATTCAATTCACAGGGAAACTCTAATTTGCACAATAATTACAGAAATGCAGTGCCATGATTCCTATTTTTTTAATCCAAATGAGAATGATGGATCAAGTCACTTTGTTAATAATATTTTATACAATTAAACTATACGGACAGCGTGAATAGATCAGGTGGAGGAGTGATCGTGTTTGGATCATTACTGATTTACTGTTACTGAACATCGCTCTCTATTTTCTATTACAGGTGCGGTTTCCTGAAAAATGTGGAAACACGATAGGAAGAGCTTAGAAGGAGTGGGCGGGGCTAGACGGCGCCCCACTGGAAAATGAAAGGGGGACAGGTGTACATCTAGGACTGGATAGGTGCTGTAATGCTAACACCTTCGATATTCAGCTCCGGACTTGCATTTGTCATGTTATAATAACATTTTTTGTCCCCGTCTTCTTTAACTTCACACGTGGCTACTCCATATAAGAGCTCTTCCTCTTGGAAGGAGTTTTTTTTTAATAGTTATTTATGAAATACGCGAAAAAATTTGTATACAAACATGTTTCCAAACAAGTTATTAATAGTAATGCAATTTAATTCGACAAATTATGCAAATAGATGGATATAGATTATCCTACTCATTCTTCTGATCCCAAGGAGCATATTCCAATGGATGCAAAATATCCACCTAAGCAGCTCCTTTTATCGGCGAAGGCCAGCATTTTTTCCTGGCTTCAGTCTCAGAGAAGATAAGTGCCCAAAAAAAAAAGTAGCTCCACGCAGAACACGCGATACACGACAGGTTGTGATGATTTCCGGCATGGCCCGCAGGCATAGATAAAATTTTAACGGAGGCAAATCTAAAATTTTTAATTTGTACCGCCATTGGTCTTATTTATAAGACTCAGTTGGCAAATTTAAAAAGATTAAAAAAATAAGTTAAATTAGTTATTTGTAATAAATAAGTACTGTTTTTATTAAAATATCCTTACTAATCATGTATATTGATTAAAACTACTATTATTAGAAGGATTACCTTAGAAAAAAATATAAATATGAGAGGTAACATGAATTATGATCTTATATTTAGAATCAAAATAAAAATTAAATAAGATCATATATTAAGAATCGGAAGTAATAATTTTAAAAATTAAAATAAGTTTTTTAAAATAATTTCTATTTTACAGCTATTTTTATCCAGAGTGTCCAGCTTTTAATTAGAAATCAGTATGATGGGGCTCTGTATACTGTCACAGCAAGCGAAAGCTCATAATGAGTTTCCCTGCTTTTCTCCGCGGAAAACGGTGATGGAAGGTTTTTGTTCCTCACCGTTTCCAAAAAATTTTCCCAATTAAAAGCATCTGAATTTTTTAAAATTTCATTCCTTTTAAACTAAAATCGGGAGTTTATCAGAGTTAAAGTATGTTTCTAAACTCGCAAAGCACTTATAAAAGTATTTAAAGGGAGTATTTGGATAATCTTAGAATCACTTTTTATAAGTGTTTTTTTACAAATCGAGGCAACCTCCTTCGTATATTTACTTCACATACTGTAAAAACACTTTTCAAATTATGGTTTTATTTTTACCCAAATACTCTCAAAAATCATCTACCAATAAAGTCGTTATATTTACAGCAGAATTTAAACCAATCTTATAGATTACGAGTTGGTTTCTTACTAACTGACGTAACTCAGCAAAGTATAATGTATTATTGACAGGGCTTCCCTCCGATAGCATGATGACTGACGAGGGGCGGGGAAGGAGGAGATAATGGAGAGCCCACGTTTGACAAAGACAAGACAAGTGCGCTGTTGGGGCACGTTTCCGGCAATTGTACTGCTCTTATTGCATCCACAACATAAATACAGTACAGTTGATCTTTCCATCAACCCCAACGGCCGCGATCCACGCTGTCCACGAGAATAACGTGGTCCGGGCCGGGTCTTCTTTTCATTTGGGCCGAGACTCTTTCCATCCAAAGATCAGCCATGGACTCCAATAGCAGCCCAATTCCCCATGAGTTACGATCCTTTCTGGACACCCGTTCTCGCGTAAATAGGGGGGGGGGGAAGAGGAGTTTGGTTGTAAATTATAAACTGCTTGAAAAGTAAATTGAATAACATCTTTTTTGTTGTTCTTAATTTAATTTCACCAAATGTAAGAATCATGTTTTCAATCATAGTTCAAATTAGATTGAATTAATTTAAATATTTAATTAAAATAATCAAGATATTCCTCGTAGTGAAGAATTTGCAGAATCAGCGTCTAGGAAATGTTTAGGCACTTCCAAGTTTCAACGTCCCGACCGACGCTCCCGCTCCTCCAGCAGCTCCCTTCCTCAGCAGTTGCGGATACTAATAGGGGCTTTCAAAAGACAGAACGCACGTAACTGAAAATTAATAACCTGCTGTTACGTTCTACGGTCTTTGTGTTTTCTGTTGCAGGTGACTTCGTGGTTACTTGATCTGATCTGATCTGATCTACCCGCTGGTTACTTGAGGCCAAACAAGTCTCCCATACCCCACAAGTTATATCGTTCCCCGAGAACAAGGGGGATACTTCTGAACTTAACCTCCCCCTCAACTGTATAATTATTGAATTATATTAACGACATGATAGCGATTGAAATACCAATTTATATATGTCATCGTCAATTCATTTGTCCTGGAACTGTTCTCCTATATCTAAATATTGGTTGGAATCTTTTCTTTATTCATTTTTCTGTCCCGGGCGAGCGTAAAAACTATGGATAGCGAGAGTATTAAAATTGATGAATTGATTAATTATGACAAAAAACAAATGATAAATTGATATCCTGACATAACATCCACGTAGCATGATCTTAACCCAGCATAAAATATGACAAAGCAGGTCGGATTAAGGAATATTGGGATAGGATAACCGGATAAGCTCACAGGATATTCCTTCTTCCGTCGCAAATTAAAGTATAACTGAGACCAGCACGCACACATGTTCACTTGCAATTTAGTAGTAGTATTTAAGTTTCCCTTGAACGTTCCAATCGATCTATATTCTCATATCCAACGCATGCTCCCTCGTTGATTAATTAAATCCCAAATCCAAACAGTCTAGGGACAATACCCTGCCTCGTGACACAATAATATTCGAGTGCGAATGCGTTACGGCGTTTTGTTTGTTAAGAAGATTGTAGAGGACTTCTCCTTGCATAGCATGTTATTCTATTCAATTATAATACGACGTATCCCCACAATAATTGCTGGGATTTATATGAAAAAGACTATCTTGTTTGACCAACATTGCACAGAGTTATATATATACACACAATGAGTGAGTGAATATTGTCCCATTTCAGCTGACTATTCTGATTAGTCCTCCGGCCCTCCCCAAATAAAATAACACATGCCCGTCTGTCTCAGACTAAATTTATATTTGTCTAAATCTAACTTAGGGTGCCACATAGCTGTCACGATAATTGACTGAAGTTGACTGAAAATTACTTTAATCAGCCTGGGCCCGACATGCCCATAGGCTATGAACACAATCTGAAGTGGCAAATTTTGTCCTTTCTCAACAATAATCCAAATCACCCAAAGCTAGATCTACTAATTAATTCCTTTATTAACCTATAATCAAACATCTCTGTAATTGACCCCTCAATTCAAAACGACGCCACTAACCCCAGATGTCTTCTTACTTTCTTTTTCCCTCTTTTGTTAAGCACGGGCACTTCATGATCTTTACAGATGTGTGAATAGGATACATGGGACTATAATATAATATTTCTTCTAGTCTTTAATATAAGACATCATTTGACTTTTAATTTAATCATAAATATAAGACTCTAATCCACTTTATCTTTCATATTTATCTATTTTTTTTCAAGGTAATCA